ACAGCAACCCAGTCATTTCAAGGTCCTCGGCCGTGTAGATTTTCAGTGTTTCGAAGAGTTTGCGGTTCTTCTCCGAGTTCCTGAGCCAGGCTTTGTCAGAAAACACTGCGGTCGGAACAAATCAGAACCTACTGTGAGCTGGACTTCCATACAGCTACTTTTCAAAGCTCCCGCTGTTTGAATACTTGGTTGCCAGGGCTGACCGCTTGCAAACGCCGATGTGTTCTTTTGGAAAATCTAGCTCGGGCTTGGAAGCGAAAAACTTGCAAATTTCTTGGCAATCTTACTTGCTATAATTTCTGCTCCCACCAACTTTTGTCACTGCATTTGTCATGCTTACATCCCTATGTCCTTGTCATGACTCATACTGAGAAACCCGTATAAAACAAGTTTCCATTTCATGTTTTCATTCTTTTCCAAATGATTCTCCACTATTGGGGCAACATCCCCAAACCCTACATAACCCTGTAGACACCCTGATAGAACCCTTGTAATCCCTGGTATAACCATTATACAACCCCAATGTAATCCCTAATATAACCCGTATGTGAGCTCTATACAATCCATCATATAAACCCCCCACAAAACCCTATAATTCCCTAAACCCTAAAGCCTAAACCTCAAAACCTAAACCCTAAAACCTAAACCCTAAAACCTAGACCCTAAACCCTAAACCCTGAAACCCTAAACCCTATCTATATATCCCTATACATACTGAGGCTCCAGGTTGCCACAGCCTTGGGCGTAGTGTTCAGGTTCGGCAGGCCACGCTTGCCCGCCTCAACAGGCCATTCGGCCGAGTAGCCGTTTCCTGGGTTGCTGTTAAACAGGTTTGGGGTTGAGGGCTTCCTGGGTTGCTGTTAAGGGCCTCCAAAAGTTAGCATAATATGGGTGCATAGGGTTTAGGAGTTTAGGGTTTAGGGTTTGGAGTTTGGGGGTATCATAATATGGGTATATGGTAAATAATGGGGTTTCCTTATTATAGTAACTTAGTTTAAGGTCCTTAACAGCAACCCAGTTTCCTGTGAAGATGACGTGCTTGTTCTCCTCCGGGCCGGTATCAGTATTCATCTGTGGTTATAGTAAGAGCAGTATGTTCAATGTTGCAATACAAGTGTAGTAGCAACAGTAATAATTTACGGTAATGCGAGCATTCATTTATTCTACAAACGCACATGTAAAAGAGCCCTGCGAATGAAACGAGGCATGACTGGGCGCACGCCGCGTGTCCTTGAACACCTGAGCAACAGCATCGCGATGGCTCATGCCACCCTCAATGAGCGATGCCATGTGGGACATTCCTGGGCTCTTGTTGAAATACTATTACAAATGATCATGTTTCATGTATATTGGGCCCAGGTATACATAAAAATGCAAAATGTTGTCCAACAAGAACCCAGATTCCAGCAGACATGATGGCGTTGCACACCATGATGGGGAAGCAGCAGTTCTGTGAAGAGCCGACGGCGCGGAACTCGAACCGGTTGCCGCAGAAGGGGAATGGCGCGGTGCGGTTACGATCTTCGACATTAGCCTTCCAGCTGCAGCCAAATGGGTCCGTCCAAATTGAACCCCCAGCAAAACACTCAGCCAGAAGCATGCTTGAATCAGCCCTTGATTCTGGGTATCAGCTATAGTCTAACATCCTAGTATCCCGCTTAATAACCCCTGGAGTAGTCCCCTATATAATCCCCTCTATAACCCCCCTTCAAGGAGTTGAGACTATAGCTGATATGCTGAATAATACAGCAATAATAGTCATCATAATAATATTAACAATAATTGTAGTAAGTAGTAGTGTCTTCGTCGTCGTCGTCGTCGTCGTCGTCGTCGTCGTCGTCGTCGTCGTAGTAGTAGTAGTAGTAATAATGGTATCAGGTAATTGCTACATTCGCTACATTCATGTGGGAGTTTCCCTAAATTACTGTTCCCAAAATGGGGGAAATCCATATAGGGCCCCGTATTATAATAGGAACCTAAATATAGGACCCCGTATTATAAGGAATTTAGACCAATCCCCATGTCCAAGGTAGCCTCGATGTGCATGGCAGAGCTGCATCCTGTCTCCTGCTTCTTCTTCTCAGCCTTGTAACCTGGACACAAACTGAGTTGATCTCATAATATAGGGGTGGTACATAGGGTTCTATAAGGTTTAGGGTTTAGGGTTTAGGGTTTGGGGTTTAGGGTTTAGGGGTATAATATAGGTTTCTATAGGAACAAGGTATAATGTAGAGGTTTAGGGGGGTTTAGGGTCTAGGGTTAGGGGTATAATATGGGTTTCTCTAGGGATAATGAAAAAGAAAATGGAGACTACTACATTTATGATAGTGTATATTTTGGTTATATAGGTTATTTAGGGAAAGAAAATGGAGACCACTACATTATAATTAATAATAGGGTATATATTGGTTATATAGGGTTCTATAGGGATAACGGAAAAGAACATGGAGACTACTACATTATAATCTTTCTCGGCCTTGTAGCCTGCAAGGCAGCGGCTTGGACAACAGAAGGCTTTGTTACCCAAAGGAGGTACTATTATTTGTATTTGTAGGATTCACATTGCTATTATTATTGTTACTACTGTTCTTGCTATGATTATTATTGCCATTATTGTTGAAGGCTTCGTTCCCCAAAAGGGTTATACAGCAGAATATGGGGTTATATAGGGCTTACATAGGGGTTACTATCAGGAACCAGCCTCAGCACTACCCCAGCTTGGCGATCCTTCCCTAACCACATCTAGGCAACGTTTACAACTCGCCTCAGCTCAAATATCTTGTGGGAAAGATCTATTACGCCAATAACGGAGACTCGCATGGAAAACACATGGAGATGAAATGGAAGCTGGGGTATGGTAACAGAAGAGAGATTGGCTTACGTACTCCCCCTATATATACCCTATTAGAATATAGTAGTTTCCATGTTCTTTTCCATTATCCCTATAGAGCCCTTTTGGGGAACAAGGAAACTATACGTCGAGAGGATTGCTAACATAATAAGCCGGCGGACCCAGCAGATCGCCGCCATTGACCACGGAGTCCACGAACTGCTCGAACCCCTGTCCCGGGTAGAGCCTGAGGAATGTCCCCCCAACATAACCCCAATATAACCCCAATATACTGGGTTTAGGGTTGAGCCTGGCCTCCAGGGGAAAATGCTGGAACTTTATGCTGAAAGGCTGAAATTCTTTACCTCAAGCAAAACGAAATGTCTTCCTGGCTTCGGGAACCCCGAGCCAGGACGTTGAATGCATCTTCTACCTGACGGGAAGGCCTATATGCCCTCAGAAGAGCCTTCAGCATCACCTGAACAATTCCCGTATCCTGAGAATCCAAGGATCTCGATATATCATCCTGGTATAGAAGAACATCACGACGGGCCCCCTAACGTGTCTGATCGAAAGCTACGCCCTAAATTCACTGCCTCCCCGGAATCCCTTAACTCCAACATCCCTAAACACTCCTCTACGCCCTCCTCTGATAACCCTTGCAACCGTTGAAAGGAGACCCCTGGAGGTTATAGGTATCTCTGCGATCCGAGGGGCGAGATGATGGCCGGAGGGGCCTCCTGGGCACCCAAGCGGTGGTCGTTGCCTGCGCTGGCCACAGTGCACCGCACCATCTCCTAGGCTGGCAAAGCCTACAGTCCCCCTTAAGTAGATAGAATATGGCTTTGGGTATATTATAATAAGATCCCCATATACCCCATATTCTATCTACTTAAAAGGGGACCATAAGCCCTAAACCTCAACCCGCATGTATGTGTAGTGATTTTTTATTTCCGGTCCCTTTGTCAACTGATGATCTAGCCGGAAGGTGGGCTGATAGGTTTTGGGGTGTTGGGATTACTTCAGGTCAGTTTTTTTTTTTTTCTCGGACCTTTTCTCCGCCGCCCGAAGGTCAGGTCAGGGTTTAGGGTTTAGGGTTTAGGGTTCAGGGCCCTTTAGTTAGGATTCAGGGAATAAGACTTAAGTTGCCCGACTTATGTAGCGGATACCCTGTACTAAGGGCGAGGCTGAGTAGCAGCCTCCTCTCAGTATTGTGTCAAGACCGGTGCGTGATCAAGAAATTCTTGATAATCCAATATTTGTCTTGGAAAGCTCTCAATAGACACAACATTACGGAACAAATCCCTATGATATCCCCTAGAATTGATATCCCAATATGCATGTGTATATATATACATATTCTCCAGTATGCTTTAGTAGTTTGCATGTTCTTTACCATTATCCACAATATCCGTTAATCAAGCCCAAGTCTCGTTGTACTGCGCCAATCCATAGGACAGGCATGCGATGGCAGTCACGTACAGCTTGGCCCCATCCTCGTTCTTGCCTGGGTTGCTACAAAGGAATCTAAATCAAGCTACCATGACTCCCTAAATTGGTGATATAGAGGATTATATGGAGAGTAGTATAGGACTTATTAAGGTGAACACTAGGAGTTGAGACTATAGCTCATATGGGTATATAGCAAATAATAAGGGTTCCGTCATTGTAGTAACTTAATTCAAGTTCCTTCAGAGCATCCCAGTTGCCAGGGTAGAAGAAGTTGAGGCCAGTGTCCGTGCCAACTGACCAGTTTGCATGCTTCCCGCTTCCGTTGATGCCGGCAAAGGGCTTCTCGTGGAAGAGGACCTGCAGTCCCAGCTTGGCAGCTTCCCTGTTCATGACCTCCATGAAGCACACATTGCTGTCACAGGAGACGTTCGCAGCGCGGAAGACCGGAGACATTTCGTGCTGTCCAGGTGCCACCTCGTTGTGCTTCACGGCCATCGGGCAGCCGATCTTCAGCATCTCAGCCTGCACGGTGTCAAGAAGATCCTGCACCTTGCCCGGGATCGGCTGGAAGTAGTTCAGGTCTCCCTGCTGGTGCCGCGTGGGGAGCTTGCCAAAGAGCGTCCGGCCGCAATTCACCAAGTCTGGGCGGGCCTTGAAGTGATCTGCCTTCAGCACGAAGAACTCCTGCTCCCAGCCCAGGTAACTGTGCATAGTCTGCGCATCGGTGCCGATGCTAATGGCCTTCAACAACCGCAGCCCATGGGTCTTGACAGCATCCATTGATCGCAGTAGCGGCGTCTTCTCATCAATGCACTTCCCGAAGTGGGTGATGAAGGCACAAGGAATATAAAGGCACTTGTCCATCACGAAGGGTGGGGATGACCTGTCCCAGGTGGTGAAAGCGGCTGCCGAGTGCGTGACGCGCAGGCCACCATTGGGGAAGGATGAACCATCCGTCTCGCCCTGGAAGAGTCTCTCCGCAGGCAGGCAGGCCTTCATCGGCTTGGTGACGTACTTGGAGCCGAACTCCAGGTCCATCAGCGTGTCGCGCTTGAAGGCGCCCAGCATGCCGCCGACAGCACCGCCACCGCCTCACTGAACGGTAGCGCACGGTCCGCTGTTGTCACGCTGAAAGAGATCACAGTTGCAATCGCTAGACGCTTGCAGGGTTCAGCGCAAGCTTTCCGTGAACTCTAAAGTTTGCATGCAGGCAGGTAATGAGGAGCAAACAGCGATATTCAAGTTGTAATTTCGTACTTCATACGTGAGATATGCACGAAATGAATGCCAAGCTGCCACGCAAGGGGAAAAACCAGTGAGCAAAGTCAATGGCTCCCCGTTCTCGGGCCCACTCAAAGATAGTATCAGCGATGACCTTCTGGTCATCCTGCATTCGAAAAGAAGCTCAGGAGGCACAATTGTTCGACGCTCCCCTGCAATGCTGTCATGGTTATATGCCACCAGTCGTTAAGCCTGGCAATCAGCAATAAGGATAATCATGGAAGTCCTGCTTACTCGAGCAAACCGGAGGGCCCTGGCTACAGCTCGCCCCAAGAAAGTTGCGTCCTCGGTCGTGGGAGCGCCTGTGATTAGGCACTCGTTGAAGCGCTGGACCTGATTTTCTTGTGAGCTTCATTAGTTAGCAGCAAACATTGGATAAACGATTGCGGCGTGTGGACTGGATGCAACACTTCGCTGTTCAACAGCTATTTTCACGGCAACGAAACCGGCTCTCACAACCCATCTTTTAAAAATCCAGCAACCACTGCGGAGGGGAGCTTCGCCGCCATGACTGCATCGTCGAACATGCAGGTCCCTGCATTCGTCAGGGCGTCCGCCATTGCCGCCTTGTCGATGTCGCTGTGGCTACCACTCGCTGTCAATTATGGAAACCAAATGGCTGCACAAGTATCAACCTGCTGTAGGAGAACTTTAGGCTTTATACAGGGCTCCACGGGTCCTAGAGGCCTACGCAATTTCCAATAATGGACAATCAAACGGCAAAGAAGAAAGCGGAAAACGAGATGGACAATGGGCTGGTTTGGGTGTTTGTATGAAGGGGTTATCTCATTACTGTCGGCTAGGTAGATCATCAAACAAGATTACAGGCGGCACATATCACAAGCCCTCAAGACAAGCTCAAAAACCGTCTAGGGTGCTGTTAAAGAACTTAGACAAAGTCACCACAATATGGGTACTGTAAATAGCTAATGATAGGGCTTCCTTATTACAGTAGCTTACTTTACCTAACAGCAACCCAGTCGTACGTGAGGACCAGGCAGCATCTGGGGTGAGCCTCTTGTCTTCTGCCCAACGCAGCGCTTGAAGTGCCTTGGTTCAACATGGCTCCAGTGCCCTCTGTCAGGCTCTTTGACACGGATGGTGGTTTTTGTAGGCCCCCCCCCCCTTGTGCGGCTCCAAATTGATAAGGGAAGAGGACTCCTTCTCTTGCAGAAATGAGAAGTAAAGTCAAGGAGGATAGTCAAAGCCAATCCCACCGGCATGCCCTAGCCAAAGTCTGTAACAAACGTCATCTCAGAGCACCCACGGTACGGTGTGTGAAGGCGTGGTGGCTACTTCTCTTGCCGTGGGTCTGAAGTCTTTGCAGAGATGCCCTTTGCTCTAGTCCTGCTGGCCCCGGTTCCCTCTAAATCAGCCTCAGTCAGCCCTAAGAACTGTGCTAAACTGACCTGAACCAAGAGCCTTGAGCCCTAAATCTAAGCAAGCCCATAAGTCACTGAACACTTAATTAAACACGAAGCACAAGAGACCTGTAATTAAAACTCATCTGAAGCAACTCTCGAATCCCAAGCCCTAATCCCTAAACACAGGGACCCCTAAAACCCCGAAGCGAAAAAAAACCCTCAAACTCTCAAACCTAGTTCCTAGACACCTTACCCAAGCAACCCTCAAACCCATAAACACGCAAAACCCATACATCCTCAGATAATCCCTAGATCATCCTTGTAGCATAACCCCCACATGACCCAATTATCCTAGCCCTAAACCCAAAAACCCTTCACACATGGTGTCCATTTAATTTTCCAGCTGACTCTTTACATATATCCCTACATACTCCCCCGTTTAACATTTTAATACTCAATAATACAATTAGGTACGTCTTCTCCATTCCCCTACCCAAAACCTTAGACCCTAATCTCTAGGCCCCAGACCTTTTATGTCCCCCTACAAGTAGACCTTAGGAGGACCCCGCATGCTGTAATAGTGGTATAATAGGAATATAAGAGGACCCTAATATAATCCCTATTATCCCTTATAGTCACCATTACTGGTTGGGGGGTCCCCTAAACCCTAAACCCTAAAGTAGGCCTGAATCATCTCATCCGAAGGAGCCTGGCGCCAGCGACCCGCCGAGGCGCAGCTACCCAGGGCGCTGGGAAGCCGGGCTAAGCTCCAGTTGAGCCTCCTAACAAGGAAGCTTGGGGGCCCTTTAAAGGAAGTTATAAGGATTTAGGGGCCCTTTAAAGGAAGTTATAGGGATTTAGGGGCCCTTTAAAGGAAGTTATAAGGATTTAGGGGCCCTTTAATTCCAGTTGAGCCGCCTAACTTGGAAGTTAGCGACCCTCGAAGGGGGTTATAGGGATTTGGGGGCCCAAGGAATTTAGGGGCCCTTTAAGGGGTCATAGTGATATGTAGGGATACACGGAGTTTAGGGTTTTAAGCTCCAGTTAATCTAGGGGCCTACACAAAAGAGGGAGTCGGTTATAGAGGGTTTGGGGATTACTGGCCAGGGATTGGGGTTTAGGGATTTTGTAGTTTCCCTAAATAAGGGGACCCCAATATAGACCCCAAAATACTATAATCCTTATCATTGGGACCCCTAAAAAGGTACCCCTAATTTTGGGAAACTCCCATTTTGGGTTCAGGTAAAGCTCCGCCGGAGCCTTCTAACTAGCAAGTTAGGGACCCTTCAAGCGGATTGTAGGATCTAGGGGACCCTTTCAATACAAGGATTTAGGGGCCCTTTGAGGGGGCTATATGGCTTTGCAGGGATACACAGAGTTCGGGGTTTAGGGTCTAAACTCCAGTTGAGTTGCCACATACCGGGCGCTGAATAGGGGCAGAAAGGGGCTATACATGGAATAATGAAAAGAAAATTAAAACTACTGTATTACAACGATGTATATGTTGGGATTATATGGACGTGGGGGAAGAATTATCATCTAGGAATACTACCACAATAAAGGAGAATCAAAAGGAAAAGAAAATGAAACATGAAACGCACGGGTTAGACGTACTAAATCGCTAAGACCCTCCAAGCACGGAGGGTGAAGAAACTACGGTATAGGGCTTACCCCACTAAAAGTTCTAGGTCCCTCTGCACCTCTCTTGGCACAAGCAAAACCATCAGCAGCACAAATGCTCTTCGCACACGAGTACAACACCTGTCTTTGCATGTACAAATATACCTACATGTACAAATGTGTGTATATGTATACATACATACGTACATACGTACATACGTACATACGTACATTACATAC